GACCCCTCGCGGGGCGGCCCCGCCCCCTCCCCGCGCACCCCAGGCCCCNCCCCGAGCCTCCTCCGGACGGCAGAGGGGCTCTCAAGGTCACTGCCCAGTCCCGTCCACCCCCGGGCCGGCGGACGGGCTGTCTCGGCCACTGCGAGCGAGGGGCTGCTTGTCTGGCCGCCGCCCCGTTCTGCGCCAAGTTGGGGGGTGGGTGTGGACAAGCAGTCGGTGACTTTGCACACTGGTCACTGAACACCCCCAGCTCCGTCCCGCCTGGCCTTCGCGCTTGTGGTTGGGTCGGCCAAGCCCGAAATGCCCTTTGGACACTTTTATACTTAACCGTCTGTTTCTCAAAGGTTGTGCTAGTGATCCTGTAATTACTGATAGCGCTGATCAAAGATAAGCTACTTTTAAGAGATTAACTACTTCCTTTTTCTTCGTTGACTTATTCTTGGAAAGCAAAAGTATTAGCAAGGTGTTAATGCTTATCATCAAGACCCAGGGATCGGAAAAGCCAACGGATTTTCTTAACCATATTTAACCTGTATCTGAAATAAGAGTAAATAACGTGGGCTTTTGACACGTGGTAATCAGAAGCGTCCCTTGGACTGAGTGTCATGGGGGGAGCAGGAGGCAGAGGGGGCCACTGCTATCTATAGCTTTTTAGACTACCTGGAGTAAAGACTACATTGCACGTTCTGTGACATTGCTTTCTTTTCTTTGCCCTCCACATAGAGACTCCGTTTATAATCATATTTGAGTATAGGTCCTGGTTCGTTGGTTGGTTTAGTCGCTAACTCATCTCTGGCTCTTGCAACCCCATAGACTGCAGCCTGCCAGGCTTCTCTGTCCATGGGATTCTCCAGGCGAGAATACTGGAGTGCTGGCTATTTCCTTCTCCAGGGAGTATAGGTCCTGTGGAGAACTAATTTGATTTGAGGTTGGATAGGAATACAGTGCCCTCCACAATGGATCCTTTTTTTTTTTTTTAAGTATTTGATGAAGCCTACATTTTAAACATAGATTGATGGATATGTTAGTTATATTAATATTTGATTTTTCGGCAGATGTTCCCATTATCAATTCAGTTACATATTGTTTAAAAAATGTAAGTGGAGGCCCATTTGCAAAATTCCCCAGAGGCAGTGTGCCAGAATGGAAGGTGCATTGGGTCAGAAGGGAAGGCCTGGTTCTAATGTGGCTTTGCCACACCATGGAATGACAAACAACGTGGGCCTGCTTTCCTCATGTAAAATAGAAATAATACTTGCCAAACCAATTTCACAAAAATGCAGTGAGGACTAAATGATATATTACATGCAGATAAATGTAGAAAATTAGAATTTGTTCAACCTGTTAAAAATATTACTGTTATGAAAAATGTCCTGCAAACCTATAATAGAGTTTAGCTTTTATTGGGCCTAGGTTTGGCTAAAAACATTTGAATGTTTCTGATATTTGCCAGTTAAATCATGAACTTTTCAGTATTAATTTAATAACCATCTGTGAGCACTTCCAAAGAGCAGGACAGGCAGAGAAGTCCAGGAGATTCTGTTTAGGGATCACAGGGGTGGGGCCTGATGGAACAGGTAAAATTATTCATTTTTAGGCTATGCCTCATTTATTAAAAAAAAGGGGGGGGGGGAAGGTGGCAGACAGGGAGGATCTGAGGGACTTAAAAAAAAGGAAATCAGAATGACCCCAAAACGGGAAGTAAGGTTTGAAAAAACAAGATGAAACTGAGAAGTTTCAACTGAATTACAACTGAAATGTAATTGGATCCTTCACGAGCTTCTAAGTGGCTGTAGCAGTGAGGGGAAACACCCTTACAGGAGTCACGCTGCCTGTCTGACAGTATCCTAGCAAGACCACAAAAGCAGCGTCACAGTTCATGGGCCACAGAGACAGGACCTGACAAGGTTCAGATCTAAGAAGTCCTGACTACGAAGCCCGATTCTTTTCACCGCATACCACCAGCGTCTCATCTGCAGTTGTTTCCTTTCTGTGTGATCTGCAGGAAAAATACCTTGTGTTTTATGTAATGCTTATCAGGTATGTAACATGCTTTCACATTCGTTGTTGCATTTGTGTCTCCTATCAACCCAAGGAGGCTGGCAAGTTTTTTCCCTTCCTAGAAAGGCCTTCCCACCATTTTAGTATTTCTTCTGTCCATCCATCCTGAACTAATAGTGGCATACATTTTACTAAGAGGAAGTTGAGGCCTGGAGTGTCTTTAACCTGGCTTGAAACTTGTTTTCTGATTCTTAGACTTAAGAGTTAGTACTCTTTCAGACTTGGTGGATTCCTTCCAGAAAGGGTCAGGGAAGGCCCATATGATTTTTGGACTCTGATGCTTGGGTTAATCTACCCAGTTATGATTAATGCTCACTACATATCTATGTTAATAATAATATTTGATCTACTTTTTAACTGTATTGATATTCTAGGACATGACTGGGGATGATGAGAATTAGTAGAAAAAAGTTAAGTGATTTACATTGTTTGTACAATGTGCTCTGAACTGCATGTCACGCCACCATTTCATTAAGGAACTTTCTACTCCAGTCAAATTGAACTACTTCCTGTATCAAGGGTATTTCTTGGGACTTCTCCTGGCAGTATGGTGGTTAAGACTCCATGCTTCTAATGCAGGCTGGGGCTGGGGAGGGGGGTTCAATCCTGGTTGAGAAATTAAGATCCCACATGCCATGCAGTACAGCCAAAAACAGTTTTTTTTTTTAAAGATTTCTTTCCTTCTTGTCCCTCTCTCTTCTCCTTCCTCTTTCTTTCTCCTGCCCCACTTCATCTCTCAGTGTCCATTCCTTCCCTGAAATTTTTCTTCCTTCTCTGAAGTCAAATCAACTGCTTAATCCTATGAACTTCCATAATAATAGCAATGATAACTAACACTCTGGAGAAGGAAATGGCAACCCACTCCAGGACTCTGGCCTGGAAAATCCCATGGACAGAGGAGCCTGGCAGGCTGCAGTCCATGGAGTTGCAAAGAGTCGGACACGGCTGAGCGACTTCACTTTTTAACTAACATTTACTGGGTATTACTTATGTACTTGGGGCTTCCCAGATGGCGCTAGTGGTAAAGAACCTGCCTGCCAGTGCAGGAGATGTAAGAGACATGGGTTCGATCCCTGTCGGGAAGATTCCCCCAAAGGAGGGCCTGGCAGCCCACTCCATTATTCTTGCCTGGGAGATCCCATGGACCGAGAACCATGTAGGCTGCAGCCCTTGGTGTTGCACAGAATTGGACATGATTGAAGGAACTTAGCATTCAGACTCACACACTTAGGTACTAGGCATTCATTTAAACTGCTTTTGTCTATTATCACATTTAATCCTCCCCACAACTTTATGAAAAGGTACTGTTATTATCCTCCTTTTGTAGATGAGGAAACTAAAGGGAAATAAATTAACCTCTTTAAACTGAGTGCAGGATTCCAAGCTGGAAAACTATACTTCTGCTGCAGGTCTTTGTAGCTCTCCTGTGGAACTTCTCCATTTTATTTTGGTTATGTGTGTGATGTGATGTTTGGTTATGTATGTCCTTATTGAGTAAGACAGTCTACCATATTTTAAGACAGCAATTGCCCATTTATTTGAACATTCTCCACGGCACAGTGCCTTGTGTAAAGTAGACACTTGGTAAATATTTGCTAGACTATTGACTGCATGCAGGAAATAGCAATTTATAATCTTGGGAGATTATGTTTTTCCATCCATATTCAGTTTTAGCTTAAAACTTAGCATATTTAGTTTCAGATTAAATACTTATCAATTTGGTCCAGGGAGTTTTGACATGAGTATGCCAGAGTCAGGGCAAACAGAAAACAAGAACTGAATTGCGTCCCCTCTCGATGAGAAAATTTGGTGATTTGAGTCTGGTTCTTCGGGCTCCAGCTTAGTAGCATTCTCTACCACAAAACACTCCTCTGATTGTTTTTGACTGGCATAAACTGTGGCTCCATTCCCTCTTCAGCTTTCTTGAGTAAATGTTTTTGCTCTGCCCTCTTGCTATCTGTATATAAATCCATGTGACTACTATTAAGAGTGTGTTTATAGCAGATTGGTGCCCAACATAGGGCTGGGTCAAAGGGCCTTGAATAATTTCTTTCCTCTCTGATATGAATCGAAAGCAAGTGTATCTGAAGAGATATTTACAACCTTAAGAAATGGTTTGTTCCCTGTCTAAATAATTCAGATTCGAGTGGACTATAAAGAATTATTTGTTGGAGGAATAATAAGAAAAGGCCATAACCTAGTCAAATTCTGTTACAGGTTTGGTTTCTTTGAAATCTAGAATATTTCCTTCCAGTTCAGTAACTTATGAAGCGTCGTTTATGGAGGCAGGACTCTTGTGAGAGAGTGGCCTCTCGTAGTAAAACAAAATACCTCGCAGGAAGTGAAAGTTCTAGAAGCAGGGCAGGGAGTAGAGTGAGGCAGGCAGGCACAGACCACCCGGGAGTGGAAAATGCCTCCTTCAGTTCTGCAGCCACGGTGCCTTGCCAGCCTCACCCTCATCCCGGTGCTTCTAGAAGGAGCTTCTGCCGGTGATGTAGGAGGAGCTTGATTCCCAGGGAACAAGCTGCTTCCCCTTTAGAAGTCTGGTTCAAGTGTGGCTAAACATGGCCTTGTGGGCACGGCAGGAGCCTTAAATCCTGCTCCTGGTGGGTGTGACCTGGGCAGAAGCTCCGGCCGCCTGGGTTCTGTGAAGGTACCCGAGGCAGGTGGCGGTGACGGTAGGTCTGTGCGGGGCTTCTCTTCGCCGCCCTCCCGCCTGCTTCCCTCTGCCCAGCGAGAGGCTGGCATTGTCAACGAGAATTCTAGTAAGTGCTCAAAGAGGGCTTTAAAAAGAATACTCCTGTTTACGCTAAACTTACAAAGAAGGAAGGCTGTCTTTCAAGTACAGAGTTCTAATGTCCTGAGAAAGTCCCGCTGGCCCTGAAGCTGGTTGAACGCTGTTGGGTGTTCGCGTCCTGCCTGCTTTCCACCCCGCTGGTAACCCGCCTCATCTGATGAAGGTGGGTGAGCTCCTCCCAAACGGGGCCCCTGCCCGGAGCTGAGGAGCTGAGGCCGCAGGGTGGGGTGGACCAGTGAGCTGGGAGGGACGGAGAGGGACTCGGCTTCCTGTCGCCAGGCCTTTGGAGCCTCCCGGCCTGGCTCCAGCGGGGACCCTCCCTCTGTGAAGTAGAAAGTGCCTCTGGCCAGGCTCCGCTGTGTCACAGGCAGATAATGCAGGTTAGAGCCGGCAGATTAGCAGTCTGTTAAAATTCCATGAGTTTTCTCTCAAAAATCACTAGACTCGGGTATACCTGTGGCTGATTCATGTTGATGTTTGCCAGAAACCAACACAATGCTATAAAGTAATTATCTTTCAGTTAAAAATAAATAAATTGAATTATATTAAAACAAATCACTAGACTCACCCAGTTGGGTATAAAGGCCACCTTCTAACGCTGTACCAGCATTACAGTTTTTCACACATGCCTGATCTTTGTCTAAAGGCAGTTTTTATTTTTTATGGAGAGAGAAGTCAACTGATGTTTGGATAATTGAAGTCTCTCCATTACCAGCTGACCCAGTGGTTACTGGTTATGTAATATCTTTTGCATCTGTGTCAACTTACACCCAGGGCCATTTAAGGCAAAGAGGACTTTTTAAGTGTGAAAATTCATATAAGCAGGCATGTATAGTTTCAGTATTTCCTAAATTTTAATTTGGGGACATTTTTGCTTTTGTGTATTACCTATACTGTTTTTCTTTACATAAACTTTAAATCTACTCCTTAAAAACTTAGACTCAAAGCCTTAATATCTGTACAATTATAGGTTTGATAGCTATGCTAGCTAGTTTTTAAATTATCATTTTAAAAATAGATTAAAGACATAAGTATTAAAATGAAAAGTTTACCTAAGAATCACTCAAAAAGTATCTTATATAGTATCAGAAATAATAATAATTAAAATTTACTGAGCTCTTCCCAAATGCCAGGCACTTTTCTAAGCACTTGACATGTAATAATTCATTTAATTCTCACAATGAGTTGAGAACAGTGATTATTCACATTTTTCATAAAGAGAAACTGAAGCATGAGAGGTACAGTAGCTCATTCCAGGATCATTTGAACGTGGAGTACAGAGGATATGCTCCTGTCCAGTTTGCAGAAAGCCCCAAGACATGTACTCTTAAATTTGGAAACCATTTTACTGAATAGTTACGAGGTAACCTGTTACTTAATCATCAGTTGATTTTAATCATCTAATTATTTAGCTCCCATGGTATATATAGCAGGTTTTAAAACCAGAGAACACACTTCCTACTCTGGAGAGGATTCTATTCTCATATCAAAGATGGGGCCTTGGAGACTACCTGGGTTAGCCTTTTGATTTATAGAAAAACCTAAGAATGTATTCCCCCCAAATCCAGTATTCTAGGGTCTGAGCTATAAGTTAAATTTGTCCAGTGGGCAGAAATGGTTCACTGATCACTTTTTAAGTGTCTTTTTCCTTTTCCTGATGTGTGTGCTCATTCAAACACACAAATAAAAAGGAGTATGATACCCGGAATAAATAATTGATCTATATATGAGTGTTCCCTGATCCAGAGTTACTTTGAACAAAAACAGTTGCCACATGTTCTAGTTCAAATCTCTGGTTTCTCTAATCCTTTAATTTAAGTAGCTGGAAAAAGTAAAATTTCCCAAATACTTAAGTTTTATATAGTTCTTTTTTAGTGATGTAACTGACAAGCAATTTTAATTTATTAGTGTTTTTTAATTACATGAACTTATGATTATTTTTTAGTAATTTTATTTTCTAGAATAAACTTATAATCGTCATACAATCATGTAAGATTCATCTAATGATGAAGGTATTATTTAAATTGAGATTTACCCACATCATTGAATACCATGCAGTCATGTAAGCAAATGGTGTAGATCTTTATGCTTGACTTGGAAAGATTTCTATGATGTATTATAAAGTTCTGATCTTAAAAGATACAGTAGATATTCTTTTTTCTTTTGGCCACACCACATGGCTTGTGGGATCTTAGTTTCCTGACCAGAGACCAAACCCATGTCCCCTGCAGTGGAAGCATGGAGTCTTAACTGAACCATCAGGGAATTCCCAGATACAGTAGATATTACAAAGATAACGTAATTTAAAACTTTAAATGTTAAGGAGCTCATATGATCTGGAGAAGTTCCACTTTTTGTAATAGCCTCCTTCTATAGAAGTATTCTGATATTAACATATTGCTTATGACTTTATAATTCGTAATCCATGCCCTGATTTTCCTGGGTTTACAATTGAAATTTTTGAAAATCAGTTTTTTTTTTTTAACTGGAATTGAGTTGGGATGGCTCTGGAAATCCTGTGTCCACCTGGAGAACTTTCTGGAGTGACCCACAGTTAAAGCAGACTCCTGAAAGGAAGAGGCCCGCTGTTCCTGGCAAGAGGATCTCCCGCCTGGGGCCTGTTTTGCAGAGATAACAGATGAGAAAAGATGTTGAAAATCTGCAGACTGTTTCATAGCCCCCAGGTGGAAATGGAGGTGATGACCGCAGGGAAGAGAAGAGACAGGTCCCGCCCCTGTGGCCTCAGGAAGACTGGCAGCTGGTGGACTAGTGGGCCTTCCTGGGTTTAAAAGGAAAGAAGTCTCTCTCAGCTTGCAGCCAGTTTCCTACCGCTCTGGTTCACTGAACTTGAAATTGTATTTGTGGGGGCAGGAAAGTGCTTCTCAGCGGGTTTGAAAGAATAGCTAAGAATCCAGGTGGGAAGCTGCACCTACTCTGTATAGCCTGCAGGGCAGTAAATCTGATAGATCTCGTCTCATGGGCCAGGTCATAAAACTATGGTTTGCTTCCTGGATCCAGTCTAACTGTGTTCTTGATGGAACTTTATCACCCCTCCCTAAGTTTTACTTTTATCTGTGATGAAAAGAACATAATAGCTGCCTTGTCTCTGTGGATTGCTGTTTCAAACAAAACAATGCATTTTTGAAAGTCCTTTGTTGTACTGTTTAAGATAACATTACTACCCTTCCAGTCTGTCTTGTAATGACCTGTGGATCATCTGTTCCAGAAACGTGAGCTGGTCATGGACTCATGAATAAACCTTTCACTTTCAGGCCTCTACCTTCATTCCTGCTTAGCCCTCCTCTCTGTCTTTCTCGTTGAAATTCCCCTGCCCCTCTTTCCCTATTTAAACTCTAAATCTTAACTCCATTGATATCCTAGTGAAGTCATGTTAGGCCAGTGAGCCAGTTTTCATTTCCTTTCTCCAAATAAGGGGCAGAGTCCACTCCCAGGCGTGGTGTCCTGGAGTAGCCAGATTTATTTCGGCATGGATTCTGTTAACACCTTGACCTTTAGACTTGTTTGCTGCCGGGCTCCCAGATTAGAAGTTAGAATCAGGAGCTTTTTAATGTGGACCTTTAGGAGTTGCTTCTTGAGAAGCTCCAAATTTTCCGTATAAGAAGGTTCTGTATAAGAAGGGAGAATTGGAACATCCTCATGTAGATGATTTACTTTCTGTCATTTAGGGGGAAAGGATTCAGTGGAGCTTCCCAGGTGGCACTGTGGTAAAGAATCCACCTGCCAATGCAGAAGATGCAAGAGACCTGGGTTCGATTCCTGGGTTGGAAAGATCCCTTGGAGGAGGGCATGGCAACCCACGCCAGTATTCTTGCCTGGAGAATCCCACGGACAGAGGAGCCTGGCAGGCTGCATTCCATGGGGTGGCAAGAGTCGGACAGGGCTTAGTGACTAAACAACAGTGTACCTATTAATCCTGGGTGTCTAACATTAACAGATGATGAAATGTTTGTTAAAGTTCAAAGTAAACTTTTGTAAACTTTTGTTTACTTTGAAAGATTGAGGAATGAGGTAGCAAGTTGATTGGTTATTTGCAGAATTACCACATAAGCCATACCTACATTGATATGTCAAATACAGTTTTAGAATGTTTAATGACAATAGCTAAACTTCATTGAGCGCTTATTACGTGCCTTCTATGTGTAAAGAATTATCTTAAGAATTTTTTCATTGTGTACAACTACAAGTTTTATTTGCATCTTAAAAATGAGGTAACCAAAGTTTAGAGAGTTTAAATGACTTGCCCAGGGTCACTTGGCTATTAAATAACAGAGCCAAAAACTCAAACACAGATCTAACTTTGAAACCCTAGGTCTCAATACTTTTGCTATACTTCATTTCTGAGGCAGAATTCTGGGTTGGCCGTTGCTTTCATCACATGGGTCCCTGAGTAAGTAGAATACATTTATAAAGTGCTGAAAGAAAAGAATAGTTGTTTTAAAATCCTTTTTCTCAAAATAAATAAATAAATAAAATCCTTTTTCTCTTTTTTGTTGAAATTGCTTCATTTCTATTGACCTACCTTCAAGTTCACTGACTCTTTGCTCTGTCATATTTATCTATGCTTCTGTATGTAATGTGTCTTTTTCTTCTGGCTGCTTAAATGATTTTCTCTTCATCACTGGTCTCCGGTGATTTGATTATGATGTGCCTTGGTGGGTTTTTAAAAACAATACTTATTCTGCTTGGGGTTTGCTGAGCTTAGTGGATATGTGAGTTTATAGATTTAATCAAATGTGGACATTTCCAGTCATTATTTTTTCTTGTATTTTCCATGTCCAACCCTTTCTCTTCTCTCCTTCTGAGACTGTAATTACATATATCCCACACGTTACTGAGGCCCAGTTCAATTATTTTTAGCCTTTTTTCTTTTTATGCACAATATTGGATATTTTCCTCTAATAGTCTGTAAATTCACTGATATTTTCTTCTGCAGTATCTAATATGTTGTTAATCTCATATAGTATATTTTGCATTTGAAATATTGTACTTTTCATTCTAGAAATTTTACTGGAGTCTATCATGCTTTTCTTCTACCTTCTTGAACATATGAGGCATATTTATCAGAACTTTTAATGTCCTCTTCTGCAAATTTCACTCTCTCTGTCATTCCTGGGCCTGATTGTTTTGATTGATTTTACTCCTAGTTGTCAGCATATTTTCCTGCTTCTTTGAGTGACTACTAATTTTTTAATTGGATGCCAAACATTGTGAATTTTACATTCAGGGGTACTAGGTTTGATGGGGTATTCCTTTAAGATGTGCTTTGTGTTGGCTATAGGTATGTTACCTGGAATCAGTCAGATCCTTTTGAGGCTGGATTTTACATCTTTTAAGGCTGTCAGAGAAACCTTTAATCTAAAGCTAATTTATCCCCACTGCTAAAGCATTGCACTTCTGAGAACTCTCCCCAGTGCCACAAGTATTACAAGGTCTTTCTGCTGTACCTGGTGGGAATGTGGTTCTTTCCCTGGCCTTCATTGGTAGTTTTTTCTCATGGGGCACAGGTCGCTTCTCAGCCAGAGACTCAAAGATCCCCTCTGTAGATCTCCACATGTGCGCCTCTGCTTACAGCGCTCTGACCATAGATGCTGTCTGCCTTGACTTTGCTGAGCTCTGCTCCGTTGCTCCTCAGCACGGCAGGGTCTCTGGGCTCTGTCCCAGGTCCCCACTCCTGCTCTGCGGGCTGGACGCTGCCTGGGGGCACTCAGCTGGAGTCCTCAGAGGGTGCCTGCCACTCACTTCCCTTGCGTCAGGGGTCACGGCGCTGCACTGGCTGCGCTGTCTGAACATGGTGGTTTTGTTTATTTGATCGTGTTTCTAGTTATCCACGGTGGGAGAGTAAACCCAGTCCCTGATATTCCATCATAAATGGAAGCAGGGGTCTGTGGCTTGTCTTTAAGTTCTTTTTTCACAGTGGAGACTTAACCGAATAATTTCAAATCCAGTGCCATATATGAATAGTGTTATATTAAAGGAGCTGTGGACTAAGAATCAAAATCAGGGTCCCAATCCTCATTCAGTCGTTTAACTTTCTGCTTCCCATAGTATATCCTGTGACCTTCTACCCAATCTAGAGCAATTCATTTCTTAGTTTAATTCATATCTGTAGAAAGAGGGTTATGAATGTTTTTTATATCATGCTGAGGTGCTATAAAGCGAGAACATAAGAAAATGTGTTGGTTGGCTGGGGTTGAGCTGTTTTCAAACAGAAGCTGGCTTATTGTCACTCACCAGTCTTCATTGTTAACATTTCATGTCAGGCACCATACTGGACATACCTTTTATGTGCATTAGGACTCTTCATCTACCAGTCACTGGATGCTATTGATGGGAAACAAGCCAGAAGAACAAATTCTTGTTCTCCTTTAGGGGAACTTTTTGACCATGGTTGTGACTCTCTTTCCACAGGTAAGTTAGTGGAGATTTTTTCCTATAGTTGTTTTTTGTTTGTTTGTTTTTAAATGATGGCTTAAAAAATGAAATGAACTGAACTGTTTGGTTTGTTTTGGTTTACATTTGGAAGCAATTTTGCATAGTGTATTTTTTTTAAATACACTAAAAAAGTATGTTCAGTAATTTATTCTTGCCTAATTTTAATGCCAAGATTATGCACCTTAAAATTCTCTATTTCTAAACATTCAGTGGCAATTATTTAACTTATTTTAAATACTTAATGGTTTCTAAACCTCATTTCTTTCAGTTTTTATGGCAGTTGGAGCTTCAATTGCTGTTCGCTTAGGAACTCATCCTGACTGGTTGTTTTTCTGCTCTTTTATTGGGATGTTCATGTTTTATTGTGCTCACTGGCAGACTTATGTTTCAGGCATGTTGAGGTTTGGAAAGTAAGTATGTATTTTAAGTTGTATATTTTAAGATATAATCAAATTCATTTTCACTGACATACTTCATTTATTCATAATAAAGGGAACAAACTGTTAATTAGGAATTTAAATTACCTTTTAATTTATTGAAGCATCCATAAATGTTATATCTTAGGGTATTAGTCTTTTAGGTGTTCTTCTTGTTATAGTTATATACTTGATGATAATTTTATTTTTTCTTCCTCTCCAACTTACTAGTCCAAGTTTACATTGACAGGAGAAAAAGAAAAATAAGGGATGTGAATAAAGTAGAAAAAGGATATAAGGTGCCTAAAAAAGAAGCATTTGGCTAAAAGATAAAATAATGAGATATGGAATCTAAAGGTCCTTTATAGTCAAATTTTTGTGTGTCCAAAAAGGGGAACCCTTTGACAGCAGTCCTGAGCAACAGTAGTCATGAGAATCTCAGCTGTGGTGCACAGTTGGTGAGATAATGTAAAAGCAGCTTGTAATATTTCCCCCGATTCTTTATTCTTAGACACCAGGAAACAGTGCACAGGACTGGAATTCTGTTCTCTCCCTCTCTTTCTCAGCGGCTCCCTCTTTGCCTGACCCTTTAGTAGCCGTCTCCCTTTGGCTCATGCTCAGCTTTGGCTTCCCCTGTCTCCAGATTCTTTCCTGCAGCACTTTGAAGTAGTAGCTCAGGAAAAAGGAAAAAAAAAACAAAACACTTCTGCTAATGATAAATGAAAGGAGAAGCTCAAAACAATGGATCATTTAGCAGAGTGAAAGCCATTGGCAGTTTTTCACGTTGACTTTAAATTACAGAATAGTCACAGCTGTCAGCTGTTGGGCACTTGCGTGGTTCTGGCGGTGTACTCAGTGCTGTACATGCCTTTTCTCATTTGTTCCTCACATTAACCCAGTTGAGGGTATTACTGCCACTGTACCAGTGAGGCGAAGTTCTGTAACTTCCTTATGCTGCTAAAGAAGTGTGGAACCAGGGTTAAACTCAACTCTCCAGACCCCACACTCTTAACGACTGTTGTTCAGTAGCAGCAGTTATTTAACGACTTAGACTTTACCTCTTTGACTTTTAACTTCATTAAAAATCTTTCTGAAATGAATTATTTTACATTCCTGGCCTAGTTGTGTACTTCATACTCATTTACTGTTGACTGAGAGCTTAATGTGTGCCTAGAATTGGACATAGAAAAATGAGTCACTTGTGGGTGGGATATGGCAGACAGATTGGGGAAAAAGCATTGTAGGCAGGAGGATAAGGAAAGAAGTACTCAGAACATTAGGGAAATGGTTGCTGCGGTTGAGCACCAGACATGTGAGGGACTGGAGGAGATCCTGCACTGCGCAGGGTTTCAACCATGTGAAATACTTACTCTCTATGGCACAGATCCTCCTCTGTATGGTTTCACTTTATCAAAGTAAATGCATCATTGAGCATTGAGTAGGATACACATGGATGGTCCAGCTTAACACTGTAAGTAGGATCTATATGTGGGACATCAGCCAAGCTTCTGTAAATACTTACAAAGTCAGTCAGTATGAACTGTCAATTGGCTAGGATGGATGTCCTGAAAAATCTGTCAATAAACAATAATAAATTTCCAAAAACAATCAGTCATTTATACAGTTTATCCTTAAAAGAGGAAGAATGACGCTTTCTGTGGTATGAATGATGCATATGTGAAACCAAGGTTCCTAGCTCAATCCCTGTATATGTCCTTTAGTTCACTGAAAGTTTGTCCTGTAATTTCTGTCAGCTTTCCTAGTTGCTTCTGGTCACTAGTCATACCCTGGAAAAATTATGGATTAACTTAATGGAATTCTGCACTGTTACTTGAAAAAGAGTATAAAACTCTGATAATAAATCATAGGTGTAGGGGAAAAAATGTTGGCTCTGATGTCATTTCTCTATAGCAGTATCCAGCTGTTTTCAATACAAGTGTGGAAAAATCACTTCACTTTCTCTTTCCCAAAAAACAGGTATAATGTATATATAGCTCATAAGACTCATAATAGATGCTCAGTAAATGTCAGTACTTTTCCTCTTTTTTTCTTCACAAAATACCATACATTATATTACTTAGTTTACCTTTTTCAACTAACTTGACTATTCCCCCATGCAGTCTGGGGGCCTTGATTTGCCTATCACTAATCTTACAAATACTGCATGTCACTACATTTTCCTTTTATTTGTGCATTAATGCTCCAGTCACCTTTTCCCTCTAAATGCCCTCAAAATAACTCAGCTGAGAAGTCTTTTCTTCCATGTCTGGATCTATTTCATCATCTAATCCCTACATTTCTTGTATTTGCGCACAGTAAGTATCCTCTAGCACGGCATCTAAGAGGAGATGCGAAGGAGGTAGACACATAAAATCTGAAGCTCAGAAAAAAATATATGGATTTGGAGAAATGGATTTTAGAGGTCATTGGCATATAGATGATAGTCTTAAGTATAGATGTAATATTCAGAGAATCTAAAAAGAGAAAAGAGGAATTCTGGAAACAGGAGCATTTAAGATGTGGAGGAAGGAGCCTGGGAAGATCTTCTAGAAAGGCAGGAGAATCATGAGAGAACATGGCATAAAAACAGCAAAGCTTTTCAAGAAAGAGGGTGTGATGAGCGATTTAACTATTGAGGAGTTACATGAGATAGTAACCAAAATGAATCCCTTACATTCAACAAATTGAAAGTCACTGTTTACCTTAAACAGTTTTAATAGAATGGGGCCAAAAACTGGACTATAGTGGATTATGCAGAGAGGAGGAAATTACAGCTGTGGACTCCTTGCTAGCCTGTTTATGGAGCAAAAGAGAGAGGAATTGGTAGCTTCAGAGAATGCAGAGTAGAGACTGATGTTGCTTGGTTTAGTGCGTTTGTTTAGGGCTTCCCAGCTGGCTCAGACAGTAAAGAATTGCCTGCAAGGTAGGAGACCTGGGTTCAGTCCCTGGGTCAGGAAGATCCCCTGGAGACAGGAATGGCTACCTGCTCCAGTATTCTTGCCTGGAGAATTCCATGGCCAGGAGAGCCTGGCAGGCTACAGTTCATAGGGTCGCAAGAGTCAGACAAAACTGAGTGGCTAGCACTTTGACGAGTGTGTTTATATATAGGGGAAATGTCTGTGGAGACCAAAAATTATAAGGACTATTAGTAACATGATGAGGAGAACTATTGGAATTTTCCCTACTTTTTAATGAAATTGACTTGAGAGTGTTTATGAATTTGCCTTAAGTCATCTGGTTGTTTTTATGTTACTATTAATTTTTCCTGATTATAAGAGTAATACATGATTGTTATTAAAAATTCAAACTTTGTAGAAGTATATAAAGTAGAAGATAAAAGGCTTCTGTAATCTCAGCGGTAACTGTTACTAGCAATTGTATACATGCTATACAAGTTTTTTACCTATATGTGAGCACATTGTTGTTCCTGTAGGCTTTTTCACTTATCAGTGTAGTTAATTGATAATTCAGTGATGGAACTAAAGGTAAAAATAAACTAAGCCTGTGAAGATTTTTACATCTTTGATTTCAATATATGGTCAATGAACCCTCATATTCCGGAATTTGATTTACAAACCTCTCTTCTTTATCTTTCCTCTAGAGTGGATGTAACTGAAATTCAGATAGCTTTAGTGATCATCTTTGTGTTGTCTACATTTGGAGGAGCAACAATGTGGGACTATCCGGTAAATCTAAGTGTTTAAATTTATATTTAAGTACTTTTTAAACATTTGGGGAAAATATTGTATTGTTAATTTTCTTCAGATATCCTTAGAGCTATATTTAATATTAATTCCATTTCTTAACCTTTTTTCTTCATTTTATAATTTTGCTATTCTGTATACCTTATTACAGCATGACTATACTGCCCTATTCATGAATATACTACCACATAAAAGAAAACGACTCCATTTCCCAAATACACAATTAGACTCACTAGTTGAACTACCTTTTCAGGCCAAAATTTATTTCATAAAATAAATTTATAAAAAGTAAATTCAGTCAAACACTTTATGTTTGAAACTTGCCCCTCAACATTAGGAAAGTTGCTAATTTGTATTTTTTATAATTTACTATGCGTGAAGTTTCTCATGTTGAATGTTTTTTATTTTCTGCTTGGTTGAAGACCTCAGTATTTTGATGAAAGTTGACTCTCAAGGAGGCCACTGTTACAAATTCATGCTTTCCACAGGAAGGAAATTTATGAAGAAACAAATTATTTTCTCACTACAACCTAAGTTTACACTATTGGCTGACTCAAAACTTCATGCCCATAGAGTTAAGAAGAATAATAAGGATAATATCAGCTGTCAACAACTAATGCTGATTCAGTACTTACTATGTTCTTAAATATTTTACTGTCACTCTTTTCATCTGACCCCCAGAACAATTCTATGAAGTAGATACTGTCATTATTCTGGTTTATTAATAAGTGTTAGAATAACTAAGTAATTTGTACAAGGACATGTAGCTAGTAAGTACTGGAGCTAGAAATTAAGCAGACTTAATTCCAGACTCTGTTTTTAATCACAAAGCAATATATCCCTGGTAATACAAATAGTAAGAAATACAAAGCTAAACATACTCTTACCGTAGGGCCTAGTGACTATGCTCTTTAGTATTTACCCAAAAACATTAAAAATTATGTCTATGCAGGGAATTCCCTGGTTGTCCAGTGGTTAGGATTCAGTACTTTCACTGCTGTGGGCCAGGGCTCAATCCTGGGCAGGGAACTAAGATCTCACAAGCCACATGGCATAGCCAGAAAAAAAATATGTCTATACAAAAACCTGATTATGGATATTTATTGCAGCTTTATTCATAATTACCAGAACTTGGAAGCAAGTCTTTCACTGGATAAATGGATTAACTGTGGTGCATCTAGGCAATGGAATATTATTCAGTGCTAAAAAGAAAGAGCTATCAAACCATGAAGAGACATGGAGGAAACCTAAATGCATATTATTTAGTGAAAGAATCTAGTCTGAAAAGGCTCCATGTTGTATGACCCCAATTATATGATACTTTAGAAAAGGCAAAATGATGGAAACACTGAAAAGATCTGCTATTGCCAGAGGTTATGGGGTTAAGGAAGGATGAATGAAAAAAGGATTTTAAGGGATGTGAACCCATTCTGTGTGATATTATAATGATGGATACCTGTCCACCTGTCATTATACATTTGTCATTTATACATTATGCATTATCACATATTATGCAACACTAAGAGCAAACCATAATATAAACTAGGGTGATTATAAGTGATAATGGCATTAGTGTCAGTTCATGGATTGTAACACATGGATTGTATCGCCCTGGTGGAGGATGTTGATACCAGGGAAGCATGTGTGAGGGCAGGGAGTAATGGGAACTCTGTGTACTTCCTGTCCCGTTGCTTTGAACCTAAAATTGCTGTAAAAATTATGTCTATTTTTTAAAACTGTAAGAAATTTCTCTGTGGCATTTAGTTTCAGAATTGCCAATTGTAATTCATATTACTAGGCTCAGAAATAGACTCTGAGCATATTTTTAAGTAGTAGAACATTCTCTGTGACGTTCACATTCCTTCTTATGATGTAAGGATAAATAATAGAATCAAGGATGTGCTACATAGGCCTCTAAAATACGTAGATGTGTCTTTCACGGTAGCAGCTCTGCCAATACCCATCAGAAGGTAAATGTGGGCTTAGAGGCAGTTAGGCAACTCCGGTCATTGTCAGATGTGGTTGTTTCAGTTTGGAATTCTGATTTAGTTATTCTGTGGAAGAATTTAATCTTAAAATCATTTCATTCAATATTTTGGCAATACCATAGGAAGAAAGCATACCTATTTATTCTCATCAATAAGAATACTTGTTTTAGATAAAGATTTTCTAAATTGAATTGTTAACCTGTAGTTTTCACAAATTTTGGTACAGTATTTCAAAGTATATTTTCAAAACACAATAGCCTATAGCTTTTGGCAATTCATTGTTACTGTTTTTTAAATCCTTTGCTGCCTTTGGAAGTTTTCTTGAACAGCAATTGACCAACAGGTAAATATATATTGCTACAGAGATTTAATCCTGGATGTTAACTACACAAAATTTTTGCATGCACACACATTGTGATATTTGTCACATTCATGATACAGATCACAGGTCACAGTGTCTGACTCCTAAGATGCTGCCTTTTAGAGGTACTAGAGTCAAGTGAACATCCTTTTTCATGTTTTGTTTAAGTCAGATGAAGGCTTGTGAGATGAAATACTTCATCACAGTTATTTAAGAAGACTTAGCTAAATTTGGTGCATTCATTTAAGAGATAAAACCATGAGAAGAAAAATTAACATTTCAGGTTACATTCCAGAAGTTAAGGTTTGATTATAAGAAAATGGGTAGCTTATTATATAGGGTCCTATTGTAATGTTTCTTTACTGTTTGATAGGAAAATAAATTTTGTTTTCTTAATGAAGTGTTTCTTTCCTCTACCCCAAAGATACCCATCCTAGAAATAAAATTGAAGATCTTACCAGTTCTTGGAGTAGTAGGTGGAGCAATATTTTCCTGTTCAAATTATTTCCATGTTATCCTCCATGGTGGTGTTGGCAAGAATGGATCCACGATAGCAGTAAGACATTAATTTCATCATCATTCAGTATTAATTTTATGATAAATTTTCTTAACACCCAGTTATAGAGATACTAAAAATATGATGAATTTTAAAAATAGGGAAGGAAACTAAATATCTTAAAAGAATCCTTTTTAGGCACATAATACAAAAAGGCATTTTTGAAAGTTTAGACTGATTTTACAGCGTTTTTCCTCTTTCTATACAGCCTTTCTTCGAGTAAGCTTTGGTGACATTCTGTGTAATCATCTGCTGTTTCATTATTGACATAATTAAAAGGTGCCATTTGTTTTCTTCCTTGTTCTGCCTGGCACTGATACAGGAGAGGAGGAGGAGGAAGGAATGAGTTCCTGATTGAATGTCAGGAACGCAGTCCAAAGTCATGGTTTCACATATGGGCCAATTTATTACACATGAAGTAAATTTTATTGAAATTTCATCACTGAAATATATTTTTAAAACTACCCTGATATTTTAAAAGGTAAAAACTTAGCCTCAGTTCTTGAGTGGATACACCTTGTGTTTGTTGTATTATTTACAACTTTGCTCATCTATAATTCTTCTGTATTTATTCATATTTGTTTTTAAAAACTCCTTCAATACTTTTGCACAGAAAAGAGGCAGAAAGAATTCTGCTCAGTTTTTAAACAAATATAATATCTATGTTTTTTAAAAAACATGTCATCTTCAAGGTAGTTGAACATTATGAACTTATTCCAGTGATGCCATCTTCTATCAAAACATTGCTGGAATGCCTTTAAGCTATAGTTCATTCTCTTTAATTTGCTGTAGTTCAGAATTTCTGTCCTTTAAGGATGGGTTTGACTTTGAAAAAAATCAAAGTTATTTGAAGCCAGACCTAATAAATAAGAGGAGTAAACCCCTGAAATATAGCATTTTTACTTAAAAAAAAAAAAAAAAAAACCTCATTCTTTTAAATGACATATACTGGCTCTTAAAGCAATTTGAAAGGAACCCACATAATTCATGTATTACCGATCTTTATAAGCTACAACTACTGAAGCCCACGCTCTAGAGCCCATGCTGTGCGACAGGAGGAGCCACCACGAGAAGCCTGTACCCCACAGCTGGAGAGGAGCCCCCACTCCCCACAACTAGAGAAAAGCCCGCACAGCAGCACAGAACCCAGCACAGCCAAAATAAATAATTTTAAAGCAGCATTTTAGTAGCATAAATATTTATAACACTACCGTATAGTGTTCTATTGACATGACTTTAAAATATTCATATTAGTGTAAGTTCTAACATTACATATAAACTTAATAGACAAGAATAAGGCAGTTTTAATAGATACATTTAAATTGATGGTTATGTATTTATAAGCCTTAATATCAAATTTATTACAGTATCTTGTTCAGAATAAGCAATCCTGACAGAATCCTGATTCATATAGATAAAAATATAATGGGTTCAGCTGTACAGTGCTACATAAGAGGGCACTTGCGGTCTCAATGTAAAAGGCAGGGCAGTGCGGGATGTTGTATAGAGAGACACTAGAATTAAATTCCTCCTAATCAATGATTAAGATATTGTGTAAAAGTGGCAGGTTAAGCTTTATTTCAATATCTCACAGAAATATGTTAACTTGGCAACTGGATGGTTGATGGCCTTTAACATGGTAAAATTTAGTATGAGATAAATGATGTCATTTTTTAGTGATTATTAGCTTAAAATGTATATTCATATAAAATTGGAATGAAACATCTGTAGCACTGTATTACCTCTTTGTAACCCTTGGTAGGGTTCTGTAGAAGTTTGAAAAACACAGCTAAGGTCTGTATACTCCTTTAGGCCATATACTGTCAATACTCTTCTCTAGGTCTCTAGTTCCTAACACAAAGTAGATGCTCAGAAAATATTTGCATTGTAATAAATGCGTTGTTAAAATGTGGTCCTGATTTTCTGCTTTATCCCTTAGGGTACCAGTGTCTTATCACCTGGACTCCACATAGGAATAATTATTATACTGGCAATAATGATTTATAAAAAGTCAGCAACTAATTTGTTTGAAAAGCATCCTTGTCTTTATACCCTAATGTTTGGATGTGTCTTTGCTAAAGTCTCACAGAAATTGGTGGTAAGAAATTCTTTTAATTTATGATTCATGGTATAAATAATGTATTTGTTCCTCAAACATAAAACTGGAAACTTTCATATAATGGGTAGGTTTTCTGTGGTGTTATCACAATAAATAGTTAGCTATTTGTGCTCCAAGTAATACTGTAAATGAATGTTTTATTCAGAGAGATGAGACTCCTTAGTGTAAGTTCTCTTAATTATTTAACAATGACTATTAGTTATAACCTTCTGATATCAAGGAATTTAAATTGGAAACTTTAACAAGCTACCTAGTCCTGAATTTGAGGTTTTCAATTCAGTATTCTCATATCAAATGTGAGATTAAATGGTCTCTTTGGTGGTGGTGGTGGTGGCTTAGTTGCTAGGTTGTGTCCAACTCTTGTTGATACTGTGGACTGTAGCCTGCCAGGCTCCCCTCTGTCTATGAAATTTCCCAGGCAAGAATACTGGCGTGGGTAGCCATTCCCTTCTCCAGGGGATCTTTCAGACCCAGGAATCAAACCCAGGTCTCCTGCATTACAGGCAGATTCTTTACTGACTGAGCTATGAGGGAAGCCCAAATGGCCCTTTTATCATTATCTTAACAGTAAATTAAAGATTTAGTTATTTCTATCCTGAAAATAAAACATTTAAAATTTAATAGTGAAATTATTTTGTTTACTTTTTTATAGATAGCTCACATGACCAAAAGTGAACTGTATCTTCAAGACACTGTCTTTATTGGCCCAGGTCTTTTATTTTTAGACCAGTACTTTAATAATTTTGTAGACGAATATATTGTTCTATGGATAGCAATGGTAAGTACCTTTTTGCTAAGATTTCTTATTTAACAAATGTCTGTTCTGTGCATGGACCAATGGGGTACATGTGATCATTCTTTATTCTAGGTTTTATAGTATTATACTTTTTTGGAGTAAATTAATAATATCTATTCAGAAGTCTTCCATTCTTCACATGGTGGTGAGATAAATCTTAATCCTTGAAAGGTTCTCAGGCAATATTCTAAAAAATGTTTGAAAGTCAGAATGATCTCTTTTAAATTACTATCCACTATAAATATTATTACTAGAAAACAATCTAAATTTAAGAAATAGGGGGTGGTTTTTCAAAGTATCTGAAAATTCAATGTAGGGTTTCTTTCAGTCAACTTACATGTATTACCAAATAGAATGAGTGTAATTAAAATATCAGGTGTTAAAAATTCAAGCACCTAACTTGTAATGAGTGAGTTGGCCTAGTTTTACATCTGGTGGAGATTATGGTAAGGAAGTTAAATTCAGTTTTTCTTTAAAACACTTTGTTAACCACAATTAAGAACAGGCAAACAAAAAAACACCGAGTAGACCAAAACCAACATATTGTGCCCTTTGGCATCCTTAGAGAAAAGGTTCTTGCTTCAGAGAGAGAAAAGCCAGATAGAGTTTTTCAAGTAAATAAGATTTTTCTATTATCAGTGAGAATTTTCTACCAACAGAGCCACGAGGATCCTTTCTATGAGAGGAAGCATTTGCCCCCAGTCTCTGGGAAAGTTCTTAAATAGTGTGCCTTCCTCCTTAATTTTGTAAAGAACAGTTTTTGTATGCCTTCCCTCAACTATGGTGTCTCTTCCAGGCCTTTACTTTCTTACAACTACTTTCACAGGAATAAGGAATAAAAGTATTTGATGGAGTGATTTCAATTCTAATGACTGATAGCCCCTTCTAGTAGAAATTGGTGGCTTTGTTGCACAGCAGAAAACTGAGTGTGGAGTCAGAAGACTTGAGTTCTGTTGTTTTTCAGCTTTTGTAATTAGTCTAGACCTTCTATCACTCTGAGCTGTTTCTGAATCTGTGAAATACCCTGTATATCTCAGAGGACTACAGTGAGGCCCAAATACAAACTATAAAATGTAGTATTTTTGATGAAGAATTTTTGGCTAAGGTTTGAGATTAGGGGGTGGACGACAGAAAAAAATAGCTGCTTCTTTAGAAAAGTTAGACTATAATCCATTTTATATTTTCTTTTTTGCTTCTAAAGGTCATTTCTTCACTCGATATGATGAGGTACTTTAGTGCTTTGTGCCTGCAAATTTCAAGACACCTTCATCTAAGTATCTTCAAGACTTCATGTCATCAAGCACCTGAACAGGTTCACAAGCATATTGACTAATATCCTAAGGAAAAGAGGAGAAGCAGTTAGGGGAACCTATGAATAAAGGAAATCCCCCTTTGCAGGAGGCTAGTATATTATCAAATAAGGTTATATTTTAATATAAACATTAAGTCCTATAGCTCCATTGTGTCTGTCTTAGTTGCAAAGCCCTCACTATCAACATTTTTTATCAAGGTATTATCAGAGTAATACAACCTATAAATTAATTCTAAATAAAACCAAAGAAAGAAATTTCAATTTTCTAAGAAAGTGAAACACTACAGTTCTAAAGAGCAATCTCTTTGTCTCAGAAATCCTCATCAGACAGTTGGGGTTTTCTCTGCCAAAGGATTACATAAAAATTCAGGACAAAGGATTTTAGCCATCTTGAGGGAGATGCTTACTTTGATTGCTAAAAATTGATAAATGAGTTCATAATATTGTATAAGTGCATAGACTTGTAATTATTGAGTCAAATGTTATAAGCATCTTTACAGTGACAGCCAGTTATTCCTTGATATTCTAAGTTTCACTGTCACAAAAAAGTGTATATTAAACATTTCCATTTGTGAAAAATAAAAACAGTAGCCTAAGCACAACTGACATATAAGAAAACCAGTAATTTACAAAACCATGACAAAAGTATCTTTCCTTTAGAATATCAGCTAAAGCTACTTCAAGTATACTTTCACTCATTTGAGATAAAATGGGGATAAAATAAGTATCTTTTATTCAGTCACTAAGTACATTATATATTGATTCTTATCTTTCCACTCTCAAAGTGTTTCTATTGCTCATTATGAATAATAGAACTGTCGAATGGTTCTTTGGTGACCCAGATCCTAAATTCTCATCTTACCTGTTTGTAATTTTTATCTAACAGTTCTGTAGACCATAAGCCATATGTTTAAAACATTTCTTTAAAAAAGAAATAATGAATATGTACTATATTTTAAGCAAGAAAAAGGCATATTGTAAAAAGTGAAAGTTGATATTCCTTGAAAAGAAATGTTACTTAAGTACAATGAAAATACTCTAGAATACTTATTTTGCTTCTAAAACTGGTAAATTCAGTAAGAACAGCTTGATTTGAATAGTACTTAAAATTTATATTCCAACATGTACTTTGGCTTAAAAGGGAAACCCTTTACAAAATGCAAAAACTTAGGAAGTAAACTGTCCCTAATGTCAGATACTTGTTAATGATGGAGGACTAATTTCTTCCAATATAACTGATCACAGAAGAAGAGAATCAGTATGTGTTTGTTTTTTAAAATTTGGAAAACCTAAAATAAAGGTGGATTATGAGACAAAAATTAGAATTTAAAATATGAAAAAACAAGACAAAGTCACTCTTCTCTACTTCTATTGGGCATATTTTTTGTTTTGAATGACTCAGGGAAAGTATTTTCAGCAAAAAATGGTAAGTTTAACCCAAATATTTCAAATTTGTTTTTGCTGAAACAATATTTATTAAGTGTTCAATATGTTTTTCTCTGTTTAAAAAGTGCACATTTAAAAATACCAGGTATAAAAATTAACTGTTTGGAAATGAATGTAAAAACTTCCATATATTTACTGAATATTAAAACTGGAAAACAAAATATTCTATGTAATTTATAGTTAAAGAAAGATGTGAAATACTTAAACCATAAGTAATTAGGTATGTTAATGAATGCTCTTAATCTTTACTAAGGGCATGTGTCATTTAATTATGGACTGAGCCCAGTTAAATGGCATTTTGATGTCATTGTAGACGTGACATTCACAAATCCATGCCTTTAAACAGTATTTATATATCGTTTGGTTTTTTAAATGGATTTTAGTGGTTTAATTTATTCCAGAAGGGAAACTTAAGTTGTTTTTAATAAGTTTTATAAGTCAATAGAATGTATTTTTTGAAATCTTATTTCATTAGAATTGGCAGTGTAACTTCATGAATATGTATGAAAGGATGTACGTATAATAGATTTTGTGTTTTTTTCCTTAAATAGGAACATTAACCATCTATACTTGTGTTTTCTACCTTTTGGAAGTGATACAAATACACTGAAGCCAAAACTTGCAATTAAATCATTTTTATTGCTAAAAGTTAAAAGACAACTGTAAGAAAAATTCACTACTGCTATTATCACTAGTACTATTAAAGAGCTGAAGCACAGTGGTACATATACTTTAGGGATTGCTGCTTCTCACATAAGTTCATATTTGGAGGTGAACAAAAAGAATGGTCTTGCACTTAAGCTAATGATTAATATGATGTAATATTTTAAACTATAATCTTAAATCATTCTAACAACTTATTAGCTAATGTTATATCATATTACTTAGGTTCAAGTTCTTCCTTCAAAGAGTCATCAGAATAACATGGATTGAAGAGACTTTCGGACACTTGCCATCTCTTGCTGCTGCTGTTACATGAAAGGAGATATTAAACACTGGTTTAATTTTTAGATAAGTGTTAATACATATTTCACAAATAAAATATTTCAATGCTTACATTAATTCTTTTTCAGTTCTGAATAACAACTTACAGTTTCCATCATAATTTTTTTTTGCAACAAAGCCATTTCTTTTTTAAGTTCATTTTGTGCACCAGTAAGTAGATTTTCATGATTCTTCTCCAAGTCCTCCATACTCTAAAACACAAAAAGCTAGGTCAATTACAAACCACCACTTTTCATCTCAGTTTGAAAACTTACGCAGTTAATTTTCAAAAGTAGGAACTTTTTAATGTTCAACAATGCACATTATTTATCTCAAATAAAAATATTCTAATACCTGAAAACCAAAATATCCACTAAAGGAATAGAAAACATCATCATAAATCAAATATTATTAAAGGAGTTACAACAGTAGTGTACCTTCTCACTGGAAGAAACAAACAAAACATAACAAAATTTTATAAAAGGAATAGAAGCACAACTTGCTGTAGCTATGTAGTAGAAAATGGGGATTAATTCCAATTTAGTTGCCAAAAGAGTAAGATTGTAAAGGAAAGGGAAAAGGAGTTAAAAGTATTCTAGGGCAAGCGCATAAACAGCAGCATGAAAGTGCAGAGTTCAGAGAAAGCAGTTATGTGGAAGGGTGGAAGTAAAGGATGGATGTAGTAACTGAAGCATAAAAAAAGGATCGTATTATTGGGGGGTGGGGGTAAATCTTGAATACCTAAGAATTCGTAATGAGAATCTACTGCAAGTTTTTCAGAAGGGAAAGATAATGTTTTCGGAAGATAGTATGGCAGACCCATGAAGGATGGGTTGGTAAACAGAAAAATCAGTTAAAAGTTTCTATAGTATAAGCAAAGAATAATAAGATTCTGAACGACGGCAGTAGCAGTGCTGAAGAATAAGGGAAATGGAGGCATCAAATATAGTACTAAAGTTCCTACACCAAGTGATAATGGCCAGTGATAGCATTTAGCACTTAAAATATAATGAATTCAGAATGGAAAATAGTTAAGAATTTAAAATATGTAAGCAAAATGTTTTCCCCTTAAACTGAGAAAAAAATTATATTCTACTTCCACATATAAACTATATTTTGTAAGAATGTGTTATGTTACCAAATACAACAGACCTTTATGAACTGCTCACATAATTGTCTAATTGTTTTCAGTCTCTGGCTCTGAACAATTCTAGACTGTTGGAAAACCTTTTGTTGCTGTCGAAACAGATTCTACAAATGTAAAAGAAAAAATTATGTAATAACTATTTGGGTAAAATTTAGGAAAAAATAATTCTATGTTAAAAGGAATAGTTTTTAAATCAGTATTTTTAAGATTTTATCTTAACATTTACTATGAGTTTAGATAATGTGTTCACCACTTACATACGATAATATAATAATCCAGCTAGTCACTGAATAGGAAATCTCAACAGTGCTCAAAACATGTCTTAATTCTTCTTCCTTTCTATGTCAACACAGATGATCCTTCAAATATTGCTGATCTTTCAGTTTCTTGGCCTGTTTTCAACCAATGGTTTTTGCCCTTCACCCTACTTTATCTATTACATACATAATCATAACCTAGATTTTGTCATTACCAATAACTATAACCTCTACATTAATATTAATAATAGCAAACTTCATATTAACAAAGTGTTAGGTAGGAAGCAAACACCAACAGCTTTTATATATGGTATGTGCCTGTACTTGTGGTTTACCATTCACCAGAACCAAACTCACAGCCAGCAGTAGGTAATGGAACCTGGCTGAGTTCCATGGGTGTACTACAAGGCCAGGCTCTCCACTTCTGCTTGAAACTTGGTTATAATAGATTAATTATAAAACTAAAAAGCTAAGCATAATACTAACAGCAAGTTTTTCTTCTTGTTCCTCAGCTTTCTGCATATCCATATCCCACTGCTGGAACAAAGTCAGAAACTGCTGAGAATATTCTTGGTTAAGCTTCTGCCTGTAAAACATATTATTATATTTCATATCAATGTGGAGCAACTATCAAAACAAAATTGATGTGATGTAATTATGCTATAGTAAAAGAGAAAGTATCAAATTTCCAGATGTGAAATCAAGAAGTAAAAGTATGACTCATGTTGATTGCAGAAATATTTATTTTCCTAACCAACTAACAGAAAAACCCTCAAAATCCTCTCATGCACTTTAGTTCTTGAAAACTAGTGGAGTTTTATTATACATATACATTTTCCAGAAAGGTCCATTTTATCTCCAAGCAATTTACTTTTTCATCTTCTGCTACTGAATATAGGTTATGATATGATAGATTCACCGAAGTTACTACAGAAAATTTTCAAATAGAAATATTTCACTTAATTTTTCCCCATTTTGGTACAGTGATTTTGTACAAAAGAACAGTTAATTCAGCTAAAATATACAAATTGTTTATAATATATAAGGTTGATCATTTTATACATTGTTAAATAGTTAACTGTTATAAGACCAGTGGTTTATAGGACACTGACTTTTTATTCAGCTAGCATACTTTTAAAATGAAAATAAATTCCTTTTATTGTTTAAAAAAGCCTCAATCATTATTTAAAGGGCTTCCTTATAGTTCAGTTGGTAAAGAATCTGCCTGCAATGCAGGAGACCCGGGTTCGTTTCCTGGGTCGGGAAGATCCCCTGAAGAAGAGAATGGCAACTCACTCCAGTATCCTTGCCTGGAGAATCCCATGTTCAGCTAACGTATTTTTAAAATGAAAATAAATTCCTTTTATTGTTTAAAAAATGCCTCAATCATTATTTAAAAGGGGAAAGAGGTCATCTTTATTGATTTCTAGGAAATGTATCTCAAGTCTGTGAAGGAATAAAGTTATAGGACTAAAAGACTTAGAGGAAAATCAAATCAAATATAATTTTTACTAGAGAGCCCAATAAATTGAAGATGATAATACTTCTCATAATTTGTACCCATGAGTAGTAAGGAATGATACAAATGTGGCAGTGAAAAAAACCAACAACTTTACCTTTGCTCTTGTTGGGTTTTCCAAACATTTTCAAGTTTCTGGTTACTGGTTTTGAGAGAAGCCTTGGTATACATTTCTAGTCTCTTTCTCTTAGCAAGAAGAGACTTGTTAATATCAGCTGTAATGAAAATAGATACTCATTTAATGTGAGAGTAAGTTATTTATTCTGACATATTCAAATAAATATGGATAAAGTTGGTTCAAGAATTTTGAAGATATTTTAAAAATACACATATTATCAAAAAGCATGATTAGTTGCTTGCTTTTTTTTCTGAGAAAAATTTTAATTATTGGTATCTCAATTCTTATTTTCTTAACCAGAGATAATTTTAATTTAGAGATGATTAAAAAGAGCTAATAATTGAAAAAAAAAGGTCTCAAGGACAGACTTTAATATTTTCATAAGACACTAATAAAGATTAAATTTAGAACTCATTATATAAAACACAAAACTTTTTTAAAAGTCTAAAAAGAATAAAAACAGTTTAAATGTTTTTAAAAACACAGTGATACTATTAAATATATTTTTTACTAAGAGAGACAAAGCATAGGAAAATCTTAATTTAAGTAGGTATCTAAATAAATTCATTCAGGAACTCTTTTAAATATGTCCATGAAAGCTTTGCACAGTGGCTACAGTAATAAATATTGTAGCCAATGAGGTTTATCCAAGGCGCGATTATTGCTAATTGAAAACTAAATATGTCCATGGAGCTTTTTACAGGCCATTTTTTACCAATAAGTACTGCATTTCATAAAATTTTTAATACTTCTAATAATTCTTTGCTAGGCACATGCATATGGATCTACTGTCAACAGTCATTTTCAGCAACCATGATGAGGTTACCTATACTGTCAGATATTTGGTATTTCCAAGTGAAAATGAAACTGAAAGTCACTCAGTTGTGTCTGATTCTTTGTGACCCTGTGGATTATACAGTCCATGGAATCATGGAATTCTGTAGGCCAGAATGCTGGAGTGGGTAGCCTTTCCCTTCTTCAGGGGATCTTCCCAACCCAAGGATCGAACCCAGGTCTCCTGCATGATAGGTGAATTCTTTACTAGCTGAGCCACAAGGGATTTCCAATATCCATCTCCAATAATACATTTATAAGGTTAAGTATTTTGCTACAACCAAATAAGGCAAAGCTTTCAAAAAATATTTGATTATATGAATATAGAGAAGAGCTAAATATTTACTTTTTTCAGAATACTATCCCCAATACAGTTAACACAACTAACATTTGACATACAGTTTAATGATCTGATTATACATCTCTTTGGAGAAGGAAATGGCAAACCACTCCAGTATCCTTGCCTAGAAAATCCCATGGACAGAGGAGCCTGGCAGGCTGCAGTCCATGGGGTCACAAAGAATTGGGTGTGACTAAGCAACTAACACTTTCACATTTTCATACATCTCTTACTAGCAACACTGTCTTTAATTCTCAACTACATAGTTTGATAATGTAAAAATAACAATAAAGTTATTTTAAAGGTTTCAGTTTACACTGCATTTAGTAAAGAACACAAGAATGTCATAGAAAATAACCAAAGAGAGAGAATAAAAAACTGACACATATTCAGATATGCGTGTGTTTGCATCACTTAGTCCATGAAAGTCAAAGAGGGATAGATATTTTTCCCATCCCTTTTTGATCTAAAATTCCGTAATCTATTAAACCCAGACATGTATAAAGTAACAGGACCATTCTTAACCCACCATTGTTAGTACCATTCTCTTTTCACATCAACTGGAAAAGGTTAATAAGGAAATCTATGAAGCTGAATCACATATATCTGTGCAAAATCTTATAAGAACAAAGCATTAAAAAAGTATTACAGTCCAGTGATTATTATTTACTATTATACAAGTTATATGGTTTAAAACAATGTTGAACACAAATATCTACTAAAACATACCTCCAAATCTTTCCAGCATATTCTGTACTTCACCCCTATGAAAAAATTACATCAGGAAAGTTTTAAGGATCCATACAATATTTGCTGTTTGGGAAGGAATATCACATTAACCAGTATTTTACATGCAATACTCATTGGACAACCAAATAGATGTTTCTTAAAGTCTAATAGGTGAAAATAGTTTGACGGTATTACCCCATATCTTCAACTACTGCAGAAGTCCTTTTCCTCCCATGTTTCTCAAGTATTGGGGTCTTCTCTGCATGACAATAAAAAAAATATTTGAAATTAAGTGTGTTATTTTGGCAATTTTTTAATGGTATTATATCTTAATTTTGAGGGTTTTTTTTTTAAGCTTTCTACCAAGACAAGTTTTTAAAGCAGATTTATAAATGCACTACTTTCTCTGCAGGTTTGTTGTGTTCTTGTTTAGTCGCTAAGTCGTGTCTGACTGTTTTGTGATCCCATGGACTGCAGCCCACCAGGCTCCTCTGCTCATGGGAGTTCCCAGGCAACAATTACAGAGTGGGTTGCCATTTCCTTCTCCAGGGGATCTTCTCCTGACCCAGGGATCAAGCCCTAGTCTCCTACCTTGGCAGGCAGATTCTTCACCACTGAGCCACCAGGGGAAGCTGCCTCTATGTAGGTTAGATGGAATGAAATCAGGATCCAAGACCGTTTTATACGAACAATTTTGCAAGTCTCCCTGTGTTAATGTCATAATAATCTCTCTACTGTTTCTCAGAGATCAGATGAAAGATGCTATAGAAGATTCACTAGCCCCAAAACAGAAACATGAAATACATGGAAATGCAGGACGTGGTCAGTAAACGTTAGGTTTACTATACCTTCAACAGCATCCTCCTCTGAACCACTCAGATCTTTTTTGTCTTCTTGCTCAAATTCATAGGCTCTTATAGCCTGATCCCCCACAGATGGTTTCGCAGACTTCCCGGAATATTTTCTTCCAGAGGGCACCATTTTTCAATGTTTTCTTATTTAAAAAACAAAAACGAAAAAATCCTTCTGAATCCAAAGACACTAAATAGACGGGCAAATTTCAAAATGAGAGATATCAAATAAAGATCATTTTAACTGAATTCCACTTTAGGAGTCTCTTCATTTACTTTGTTGAACCAAAAATTAACGAGATAATGACAGCGCTACTCCTGACTCCTGGGGTGCCTTAATGGAGAGTTCTCAGGGACAGGGAGGGCAGGTAGGGAGGTGGAATTCTAGATCTGCTTTTGCCAGCTTCTGGCTAAATAGAGGCAAATCTAGATTTTGCATTTCAGTCAGAGTGAAATCAACGACTGACAGGATCAATCACGACCCCACCCCAAAGAAACTGCTAGCAACAGAAATACAAAATAAAACCCGCAGAAAAAGACATTCAGTAAGAATTCCACGACCCAGGCCTCGAGGACCAGTGAAGGGGAGCCCTGAATTAAACTAAATAGTTCCTGTAGATTGGCGGGGGTGGGGGGTGGGGCGCGCGGCGGGCGGGTCGGAGACTTACAGCCCACCCTCTTCGCCTGCGGTCAACCTGTCCACCCGCCACGTTCAATCCAAGTTGCCCAGCCTGGGCCTTCTCGCCTGCTCCCCGCCACTCACAGGTCTGACCACTAAGAGCTTTACGGCTTTCAAATTCCTGTCAGAGGCTCCCGGGAAATTTTACCTGGTCAAGAGTAGCCCTTGGCTCAGACTCCCACGCAGAACAAACACTTCCCTCCTCACGCCCGAAAATCACCCCCAATGGCTGAGGACCGCAGTTAACGTCTCCGGACAGGCATACCCTCCACTCCCGCTGCCCAAGTACCTTACCTTAAGTGTCCACTTCGCCGCCGCGACACTCCTCTGAGGTAACTCCAAATTCCGGCGGGAGAAAATGCAGCCTCGCCTCCCAGGAGCGTTGCTGATTGGCTGGCTGGAAGGCGCATGCTTACAGTGGTCCCAGGGCTCCGCCCCTTCAGACGACGAACTACGTGAGGCTGCTGACGCAGAGTGCGTTTTAGGCGGCAATTTGTGGCTAATACAAATGAGGCGTGGCGCTTTCCAGTTGCTTTTTGTAATTTAAAATTTTTCAGAATATTTTAATAAAATGGTGAAAGAACATGTAAGTTATGAAATGTGAAGAACACACATCTTAATTTGCGAAGTAGAATTTTACCAAAACCCATTGAATCTTCTCCGGAAGTCCTTTCCATCCCACTCACACCCTCATTTTGTACTCAGAGGTTTTTTAAAAACTTACCTTAAATTCTGTGTGAATCATTGGACCCTCCCATTTTCTAAGTTTTCTTACCACATATATGTGCCCATAAACAACCCTTCTAGGTTTTGTGTTGGCATAGTACAAAAAATTGTACCATATTCTATGTAGTTTTCTGTCACCCACTTTTTTACTTAACATTGTCACTAAGAGAATCTAGATGATTATACCTAACCAAAGTTCTTTCATTTTCACTGCTGCATAATACCCCATGTGTCTCTATTCCACAATTTATTAGTTTATTTTCTTGTCTGTGGACTTGTGGGTTGTTTTCAGACTACACCCTATATAAACAATGCTACTATGAATATTCTAATCTGCGTATATGCCAAAGTTTTTACAGAGGACCTGGGTGTGAAGTTGTTTGGTAATAGGCTAGATGTAATAAGGCCAAATTGGTTTCCAATTTATATTCCCACCAACAGAATGAGTTTCCATTGTTCAATGTACTCATCATCAGTTGGTATAGTCAGATTTCTTAATTTTGCCACTCTCAGAGGTGTAAAATGATATTTCTTTAGGGTCTTCTTTTGTATTTCTCCAATCATGCATAAGATTAAGCTCTTGTTATGCTTATTGGCCATTTGCATTTCCTTTATCTTAAAATATCTATTTGAGTTTCCTGCTCATTTTTCAATCGGGTTATGTGTTTCTTATTGATTTGTAACTTTTTATATATTGGGTGAGTGTTAATAAATATTTGTGACTGCTTTCTGTATCTTCTATCCTGAAACCATTAAAAAAAAGTTTGAAGGTTTTATTTTTCATTTTTAAGCCTTGATTCATATAGAATTTTTGTGCCTGACAGGTAGGATCCAATTACTTTGCCTCACTCCTCACTGTGGAAACCAATTTACTGAATAGTGCATCCTTTCCCTTTAACGGCTACATCATCTGTCAAGTCTCCATATGTCCCTGAGTCTGCTTCTCTAGCCCGTTCCACTGGATCAGTTTGCCTATCTCTGTGCCATCATTCAAGCTTTATTAAAGGTTTAGCATCTAATAGAGCAAGTCACACCTTATTTTTTTCTTCAGGAACATCCTGTGTATTCTTGAACTTTGCTTTTCAAGCAAATTTTATAATCAGTTTTCCAAGTTCCGGGAAAAAACAAAACCAAAAAACTTATTGGATTTTCACTGGAATGGCAATAAATCTATAGATCAATTTAGAGAGAACTGAATCTTTCTATTCTTGAATGTAGCATATTTTCCATTTATTTAGAATGTCTTAATATAATTCAATAAAGTTAATTTTTTTTCCTCTGTGCAGTTTTCACTTTTATTGAATTTTTTTATAAATAACTTATTTGTCCCTATTTTGCTCTAATTGTTCAATTGCTCAGTCATGTCTGACTCTTTGCGACCCCATGGACTGCAGCCTGCCAAGCTTTCCTGTCTTTCACCATCTTCCAGAGTTTGCTCAAACTCATGTCCATTGAGCCAGTGATTGCCATCCAACCATCTCGTCCTCTGTTGTCCCCTTCTTCTCCTGCCTTCAGTATTTCCCAGCATCTAATATCCAATTGATTTCTGATATGGGTCTTATTTCTTTTAAAATATGCATTTTAAAAGTTTATTTACCTGTTTATACACACACAACATTGTTCCAGAAAGGGATTAAGGTGGCTTAAAAGACTCTGTAAAATACACTAAGGAATTAGTAACAGAAGAAGCAGGAATGAAGCATATGCAAAACGCTTATACAATCCTACTCCTTTACTCTGGATGAACCTACCACAGATTTGGCTCTAAGCTTTTTAGCAGGCAGTCAGAAAAAGAAACTTAATTACATCATTTGCAGTGTCCAAAAAACAAAAGCAAACCAATTACTCATGCAAAGCAGTGTTATTCCTAATATTAAGACAGAAAAATTTCTCTTGAGAGGCTTTATAAAGAGGTCAGTGAATGATGTAATTAATAATCAGTGTTCTCAGTAGCAACCTAATTGGAGACCAAAAATTAATTTCGTAGGGTTCTTTCTTCCATACAGGCTGATGGCATCACATCAACTTTTTCTTTTTTCTCCAGGGAAAGCAATTTTATCATGACTCCATAGAAGTCCTGAAACCCTAAAATTCTATTCAACACTTTCTGAATAGGTGTGTTTATTCTTCTTGGCAGACCAAACATAGTTTATTAGATGCACGCAAGCTAGGAATCATTTCTTTAGACAATTAAGAGAATTAGACTACAAATCATTCATGCTATTCAGATACTTACGGTTTTTTCTTAACAGTCAAGCTTTTTTTTTTTTCCCCACCTCTGGAAAAGGATCCTTTCTTGTTTCCATTTGGTGCCACGGCTTGGGTGAAGGTTTCAGAGTGGTTAAAAAGTTGCCTCCTGGCTGGAGGCAGCGGCTCTGGCAGAGATCTCGGGACTGGGGAAGGCAGAGGGGTCCCGCCAAGGCTACCAGATTCCGGAGACGCCTAGTTTCGCTGGCAGGAGAGCCTTTGGAAGAGATACTCGCCCAGCCCAGCCTGGGGGCGGCCAGCCTGCACAGGTTGGTCAAGTGGACGGCCATCTTGACGAGCTCCTCCTCCAGGAAGTGGTGCTCCCGGAGCTTGGAGAGCGGGGCGTCTGCGTCCGCAGAACCCAGGACGTGTAGATCCTAGAGGGAGCCTGGTTAGGGCTCTTCTCGGGGGCCGTGGGGGCCTCCACTCCTCCCGGGCCATCACCTGCCGGTCCTACCAGGGCGCGGCCACCCCACTGCTTCCGCGCCTTAAGGAAAAGCTCGGCGCCCTTGCACTTCGGCCAACATCCAGAAGAAGCGGCCCACACCTTCCAGAGCCACCTCGTTGCCTTTGAAGTAGAAGCTCCGAGAGGTAGGTAGACGAGGCCCAGAGGTGTGGCTGATGGCTGCCTCCTCCTTGGTGGAAGCATTGCGCCGGATCTGGGTGCTCACGGTTAGTTAGCGGTGAGGACTTCTCTCCACTGTGTGCTGGTCCTGGAAGCAGGGGATCTGGGGCTTATTCTTCTATCCAGCATCTTGCTAACCGCCTGTGTTACTTTTAATGATTTGTCTGTAGAGGCGGGACTCATATCTGTGAATAGTGACTTTTTTGTTTCTTTCTAGTTCTTAAGCTTGTATTGATTAGGCTCTTCAGTAGAAAGATGAATAAATGTATCAATATTAGACATCCTTTATAATTTGAAAGGGCATATTTCTAAAGTTTCTGTTAACAATGATGCTACCAAAACCTATGTTAAATCCGTTTCACCTGCCATCACTAAACAACGTTGTTTTGAGACTGGCAGGTCTTGTTGGCTACACTTATCCCAAACAGTAAGGTGTCTGCCCCAGTTGTTTTCAGGAATTTGGAGTCAGCTGGGTATAGTTTGAGCTGAGCTGGATAAGTCTGGACCACTGACCCGTCAACTGGGCATTCAAGAGTAGCTTAGTGACATTTTTGACATCAGAGGAGTGAGAACTCTACCCTTAAAACTTGCAGAGGCCTGTAGCCTAGTTAACAGATGCTCAGAATGGCAGATTCTACACCTTTTTCCAGTCATCTTTCTCCACATCCCCCATGCCTTGGACCGCCCTGCGTTTTTATTCTTTATCCCATATATAACTGCGCTCCTTGCCTTGGGGAGGCAGAGCTGAGACTGGTTTTCCTGTCTCGTAGCTTGGCTATCTTGTGTATAAATTCTCTCTTGGCTGCAAACCTCAGCATCTCAGTATTTTGTCCTGCTGGACTTCAGGCGAGACAAACCTCGTTCAGTAACACTACTGTTTGTGTGACTTTGGCAGTTGCCCTTTTGAAAGCTTAGTTTCTATTTTCAGTTGCTAAGGGCTTTCTTGCTTGTCTATCATGCTTTGTTTTTTAAAATTATGAGTAAGTTTGGATTTTATTAAATTATTTTTCTATATCTATTGAAATGATCTTTTTAATTGGTAACGTGGTGAACAAAATGTATTTATAGTTTTCTAAGGTTAAACCAATTTACATTCCTGTGATAAATCCAAGTTGATCACGAGGTGCTAACTTTTTAAGCACATGACTACATTTGGGTTGGTCAGTGTTTTGTGTCCATTTTCATGCCTAAGGTTGGCTTGGGATTTTCTCTTGTCCATGTCTGTGCTCAGTCGTGTCTGACTCTCTGACCCTTTGGACTGTAAGTCAGTCTCCTCTGTCCATGGGATTTTCCAGGCAAGAGCAGTGGAGTGGGTTGCTATTTCCTCCTCCAGGGGATCTTCCCTACCCAGGGATCAAATCCACATCTCCTGTGTTTCCTGCATTGCAGGCAGATTCTTTACCACTGAGTCTTTGTAATTAAGACTATGCACAAAGCTTGCTGCCTCTTCAGGTCTTTGCTTAAATGTCACTGTTCATCTCAATAACGCCTCTCTGCCCCCATTTTTAGATATTGTAATTGTAAACTCCGCACTATAATTCCTCTTCTTTCCCTAGACCTCTTTCCCAGGTACCTTTGTTAGGCATTTACCTCTTTTTAATTTAATAGTATATAGTTTGATAATTTACTCAATTGTTGGCATCCGGTCCCATCATGGCAAATAGATGGGGAAACAGTGGAAACAGTGAGAGACTTAATTTTGGGGGCTCCAAAATCACTGCATATGGTGACTGCAACCATGAAATTAAAAGATGCTTACTCCTTGGAAGGAAAGTTATGACTAACCTAGATAGCATATTAAAAAGCAGAAACATTACTTTGTCAACAAAAGGACACGACTGAGCAACTGAACTGAACTGAACTCCCATTAGAATATAAATTCCAAAGGACCAACAGAATTGTCTATAGTGCGAGGAAGAGATCTAATTTCATCTTTTTGCAGATGCCTGTCCAGTTATCCCAAAATCATTGACCAAAAAGTCAATCTTTGCCCCCAGTGGCTAGTAACACTACCTTTATTAAACACACTAGATTTCCATAGAGTTGGGTCTATTTCTGGATATTCTGTTACATTCCACTGGTTTATCTGTTCATGTATCAGTACCACATTGGATTATACAAATTTATGAGTGTATTTTAATATCTCATAGGCTACTTTCTTCCCCTCATAGCTATTCTTTTTCAGGGTTTTTTTTTTCTAACTAGTATTGGGTTGTTTTAAAAACATGAATTTTAGCATCATCTTGTCTCTCTCCAAAAGAGGGGGGAAACTTTGGATATTTTATTGGGATTGCATTAAAATTTGTAAATTAAGGAAAAATGCCATTTTGATGATGTTGAGATGTCCTAAAAAGGAAAAGGGATGTCTTTCCACTATTTGCATCTTGAAGAAGCATTTATAGTGTTTTGAATATAGATTTTGAATGTTTCTTGTTTAGGCTATTCCTAAATATTTCATCGTTTTTGTAGCTAGTATAACTCAGGTTTGTTTCCATTTCCATTATATCCTCTAACTTGTAATCATTTGTGTGTATGAAGACTTTTGAGGTTTTTAAATTTTTTGCTCTTAATTTTTATTGGAGTATAGTTACTTTACAATGTGTTAGTTTCTGCTATGCAGCAAAGTGAATCTGTATTATTTTTTATTTTCTTTTTTTGAAGACTTTTGAGTTTTGTGCGTTACTTTAATGTCCTGTTACCTTATAAAATTAATGTTTGAGTTTATTCACTGAGTCTCTAGAGTTCTCCAGGTGTATTTTCATGTCATCTGTAAATAGAGATAATTTTACTTCTTTCTGATTCCTACGTCTCTGTTTTCTCTCATCTATATTTCATTGGCTAAAGCCTTCTGTACAATGTTAAATAGTAGTGAAGGTGGTGGTCAGTTTTTCTTTGTTCTTTACCTTAGTAGGAATGCCCCAGGCATTTCTCCATTATCTTTTTTTTAAATTTTAATTTCTTTTAACACCAAAAACATTTCGTACTGGGATATAGCTGATTAACAATGTTGTGATAGTTTCAGGTGAACAATGAAGGGACTCAGTCATATGATGACTTTACGGTTCAATGTTTAAAATGACTGTTAGATTTCTGTCAAAAGATTTTTTTAAACATCCATAGAGATAATAGTACATTTTTTCCCTTATACCATTATTTTGGTAAACTATATTAAAATGTTAATATTCATCTATCTTTGCATTTCTGGAATGAATTCTACTTGGCTATGGTGTATTATTTTCTTGTAGTACTGGAGTCTGTTCAGAATTTCTGCATTAACATTCATAAGGGATGAAAGTGAAAGTTGCTCAGTCATGTCCGACTCTTTGCGACCCCATGGACAATACAGAATATTGTATTCTGCAGGCCAGAATACTGGAGTGGGTAGCCTTTCCCTTTTCCAGCAAATCTTCCTGACCCAGGAATTGAACCGGGGTCTCCTGCATTGCAGACGGATTCTTTACCAACTGAGCTATCAGGGAAGCCCAATGGCCCATAATTGTCTTTTATGTTTGCCCTTAACAGGTTTTGATAATAATGTTATACTTGCTTTGTAAAAAGAATTAAAAATTTTTGTTTTTCATTTTCCATGCTCTGAAACAACTTATTAGTATTGGGACTCTGTGGTGCCAAATATTTGAAATTCTTTTGTGAAACTTTGTGAACCTGATGACATCATATATATAATGACTCAAAAAAAATTCTTTCTTAATTTCATTGGCTAAAGCCTTCTGTACAATGTTAAATAGTAGTGAAGGTGGTGGTCAGTTTTTCTTTGTTCTTTACCTTAGTAGGAATGCCCCAGGCATTTCTCCATTATCTTTTTTTTTAAATTTTAATTTCTTTTAACACCAAAAACATTTCGTACTGGGATATAGCTGATTAACAATGTTGTGATAGTTTCAGGTGAACAATGAAGGGACTCAGTCATATGATGACTTTACGGTTCAATGTTTAAAATGACTGTTAGATTTCTGTCAAAAGATTTTTTTAAACATCCATAGAGATAATAGTACATTTTTTCCCTTATACCATTATTTTGGTAAACTATATTAAAATGTTAATATTCATCTATCTTTGCATTTCTGGAATGAATTCTACTTGGCTATGGTGTATTATTTTCTTGTAGTACTGGAGTCTGTTCAGAATTTCTGCATTAACATTCATAAGGGATGAAAGTGAAAGTTGCTCAGTCATGTCCGACTCTTTGCGACCCCATGGACAATACAGAATATTGTATTCTGCAGGCCAGAATACTGGAGTGGGTAGCCTTTCCCTTTTCCAGCAAATCTTCCTGACCCAGGAATTGAACCGGGGTCTCCTGCATTGCAGACGGATTCTTTACCAACTGAGCTATCAGGGAAGCCCAATGGCCCATAATTGTCTTTTATGTTTGCCCTTAACAGGTTTTGATAATAATGTTATACTTGCTTTGTAAAAAGAATTAAAAATTTTTGTTTTTCATTTTCCATGCTCTGAAACAACTTATTAGTATTGGGACTCTGTGGTGCCAAATATTTGAAATTCTTTTGTGAAACTTTGTGAACCTGATGACATCATATATATAATGACTCAAAAAAAATTCTTTCTTTTGTAACAGTACTGGGCAAGTGAGCAGGTCCTTGGGGCAGTTTCCATCTATGTGGTCAATCCGGGGCCCACGCTGGTGGGAACTGCAGTCTTCAACATATGACTTACAAGTTTGCCCTGGAAGTGGTCGCCATCCCAGACATCTAGAAGGGGAAAAGAATATGGAGGTTGTTATGAGCAAGGCTTGGAAGTGGCACAGATTATTTCTGTTCATATTTTATTGGTTAGAGCTCAGTCACCTGGTCAACACCTAGCAGCCAGGAAGGCTGGCAAATGCTGCCAAGCTGAGGACCCAGGAAAGGATGAATGAGTATTTAGGTGAATAGCAATCACTGCTTCCTACTAAGAAGAATTCCAAAAGAATCTTAGAACTTAAGTA